AAAAAAAAAAAAAGAAGTTAGAGAAGCAAATTTTGGTTCAACATAAAATGACTATTTAATAATCACAGTCATTTTACACTATAATAGGCTGCTGAAGGAAGTCTGCAGAAGTATTTAAACAAAAGAATTTAAGCTGGGGCTAAAAAGACGATCTAGCTAGCTTTTTTTTTCAGACAAAATCACAGCAACCTTATACTCTTGGGGTTCAAGTGATTCTCTCACTTCAGCCTCCCAGAAGCTTGGACTACAGGCACCCACCACAATGCCTGGCTATTTTTAGAAACAGGGGTCTCACTCTTGCACAGGCTGGTCTGGAACTCCTAGCTCAAGCAATCTGCCCACCTCAGACTCCCAGGTGCTAGAATTACAGGTGTGAGCAACTATGCCCAGACCCATCTATTTAGCTTTTGGTAGAAAGAATGCAGCACTGGAAAACTAATATCAATAATATAATAAATAATATTAATAATATTATATATAAATAATAATCTATAAGAAAAATAATATAATATAAATAACCACAATAGTCTTTCCTAACTTAAAGGGGGATTGAGATGACCATGAGAGTTCTTGTACTTTTATGTTTGTCATTTAACTTTGAAAATAATACTATGAAATAAGCACCATATTTTAATAATGAGGAAACCAAGAACAAGGGTTTATCTTTATATAACCATGATGTGATGTACTTAAGCTGCACAGACAATTTTCAAATACATTGTTTGACTCAGGTTAGGCTCATTCCCCTGTATCATTGAAGCAGAACTTTTAAAATGTCCAACATCCAAACCAAATTGCATACCAACTACACTGCAAATTCTGGGAGCAATGCTTGTGATCCATGTATTATGGTCTGCAATGCTCTCAAGTATTCCCAACCCACAGTCATGATTAAGAATCACTGCTATATATTAAGGGTTGGCAGTCAAGTTTTACTGTAACATACCCACAATCATTTGTTTACATATTGCCTATGAATGCTTTCATGCTACAAATGGCAGAAGGTAGCTGACTTTCAGTCTCCAAAGCCACTAAGTATTTACTGTTTTACATAGCTCTCTACAGGGATAAGCTGCCAGGCCCACCATAATACTCTTATTTTTGCCACCAAATGAAGTTGGATCTACAGGCATTAAAAAGTTGTAAAAAGCTTAACAGTTGGAACACAGGACATCAGTGTTAACAACCAAATCTATGAATTCTGCAAAGTTCATCAGATACCAAATGGTACTTAATACATAAGAATAAAACTATCTTTTATGTAAGATGTAAGAGACAAAAGCTATTAGACTACCAACATTATCTGACAGACACAGTCCATCAACATACATAACCATGGCTAGAACATACCTGCTAACAACTGCTACTTAGTACTATTTTTTTCTTTTTTCTTCCCCCTGCCCCCCAGGGGTAAGATAGGATTTTGTTAGAAAGAAATACAGGAGTAAAAAGTACCAGGGCTTCCAGCAAAGGGAAAGACCCAAGTCGGAAAATCTCTTTGGGTCCTCTGTCTAGTGCTACTTAGTATTATTTTTAAAAGTATGCATTATGGGCTGGGCACCCATAGCTCAGTAGTTAAGAGTGCTGGCCCTGTGCACCTATGGTAGCATGTTCGAATCCACTGCAGGCCTGCTAAACAAACAAACAAACAAACAAACAAAGTTCCAATTTTGGGTGTTTGGAGATTGCTGTGAGCTATGATGCCACTGCACTCA